AACGTCCGGCTATTTTTTGGTTGCAGCCGTCATTGTTGTTTGGCGGGTCCAGGCTGGGGATTTGAACCCGCCACCTTAGGTGTACATGGCTGGCACCTTAGCCCGTTGAGCTATAGGAGCCGAGCCAGCAATACTTTACTCTTGAGGGCTGTGAGTAGTGAAACAATACTTCCTGGAATTACTAGCAAGACTACCATAGTCATAGTTTAGATTCATTTGACCTGACTACTGGGTTTTATTTTTTCCTAGTTCTTCTGCTAATATTGTACTTTCTTAATGATTTGGTCTCTTCTCTCCTCTTAATATATTACCTCAGTTTATTTTGTTTTCCTATAAAATTATAAGTAGTAATACTATATTTCTCTTGTTCCTATAAATACAAACATTGAGGTATTTACATGTATTAAGGATTTCATATTCTTTTGAATGAACATATTCCAAATAGGGCAATAGTGGTAAAATAGACAGACTCAGTCTTTCTAGGTTTCTGATTCCTCATATATAAAAGTGGAATAATAATAATACTTCATTCATAGAGTAGTTGTGAGGATTAGATAAGATGATGATATTAGGCCCTGTGAGGTGGGCTAATGCCTATAATCCTAGCAATCTGGGAGGCTGAGGCTCCTTGCTTGAGCGCAGGAGTTTGGGACCACCCTGAGCAAGACTGAGGCCCTATCTATACTAAATATAGAAAAACTAGCCTGGCATCATGGCAGGTGCCTATAGTCCCAGCTATTCTGGAGGCTGAGGCAAGAGGATTTCATGAGCCTAGAGATTAAGGTTTGCTACAAGCTGTGATGATGCCACTATAGCACTCTACTAAGGAGGACAGAGTAAGACTTTGTCTCAAAAAAAAAAAGATGATGGGGCAGCGCCTGTGGCTCAAAGGAGTAAGGCACCGGCCCCATGTGCCGGAGGTGGCAGGTTCAAGCCCAGCCTTGGCCAAAAACTGAAAAAAAAAAAAAGATGATGATATTAAAGCACTTAGCATAGTTTCTGGCATGTATTAATACTCAGTAAACATTTGTTACCACTACTGACATTGCTATTGTTGTTCTGGCTATTTCTGTTCTTATACAAAACTTTAATTTTAAAAGTAAAGTTGGCTCGGCGCCTATAGCTCAACCGGCTAAGGCGCCAGCCACGTACACCTAAGGTGGCGGGTTCGAATCCCCAGCCCGGACCTGCCAAACAACAATGACGGCTGCAACCAAAAAATAGCCGGGCGTTGTGGCGGGCGCCTGTGGTCCCAGCTACTTGGGAGGCGGAGGCAGGAGACTCGCTTGAGCCCAGGAGTTGGAGGTTGCTGTGAGCTGTGATGCCACAGCACTCTACTCAGGGGGATAGCTTGAGGCTCCGTCTCAAAATAGATAAATAAATAAATAAAAATAAAAGTAAAGTTTTTCAGATGCTCCCAGTTGTGAAGGTTTTACTCTTTAGACTTTTGTGTATTATTTGCTTTTCTGTCACATGCCATGTACCTACATTTTGGTCAACAACAAACTTCATATATGATGGTGGTTCTATATTATAATGGAGCTGAAAAGTTCCTATCCCCTAGTGACTGACATTGTAGATGTCATAAGGCCATGGTGCATTTCATTACTCACGTGTTTGTGGTGATGCTGGTGTAAACAAACCTACTGCACTGCTAGTTGGATAAAATTTAGCATATACAACTAATTATTGCATACAGTACTTGATAATAATTATGTTACTGGTTTATGTATTTGCTATACTCGTTTTCATTATTTTAGAGTGTACTCTTCTTTAAAAAAAAAAAAGACCTCAGGCAGGGCTTGCAGGAACTATTCCAGAAGGAGGCATTATTATCATAGGATGTGATGTTCCATGTGTGTTATTGCCCCTGAAGACCTTTCAGTGGGACAAGATGCGGAGGTGGAAGACAGTGATATTGATGTTTCTGATTCTGTGTAGACCTAGATTGATACATGTTTTGTGTCTTAGTTTTTAACAAAATAGCTTAAAAAGTTAAAAAAAATTTAATGGAAAGAAACTTATGGAATAAAGAAAAGATATAAAAATATTTTTGCATAACTGTATAATGTATTTGTGTTTTAAGCTAAAGTGTTATTACAAGAGTTAAAAAGTTTAAAAAAATTAAAAGGTTTATGAAGTAGTTACAGTAAATTAAGAGTAATTTATTATTGAAGGAAGAAAATGTTTTTATATACTTAATGTAGCCTAAGTGTTCAGTGTTTATGAAGTCTACGTTAGTGTATAACCACTTACTCATTGACTTACTCAGAGCAACTTCTAAGCCCATCAGCACCATGTGTGGTAAGTGCCATATATAGGTATACCATTTTTTATCTTTTATATTATATTTTTGTTGTTACCTTTCTATGTTTAGATATGTTTGGAGACACATATATTTA